CTTTAGAATGTATTGTTACATCTATTTGAAGTAGCACCACCTTTTGTGACGCACAATAGTTAAGAAACTTTAGAATGTATTGTTACATCTATTTGAAGTAGCACCACCTTTTGTGACGCACAATAGTTAAGGAACTTTAGAATGTATTGTTACATCTATTTGAAGTAGCACCACCTTTTGTGACACACAATATTTAAGGAACTTTAGAATGTATTGTTATATCTATTTGAAGTAGCACCACCTTTTGTGATGCACAATAGTTAAGAAACTTTAGAATGTATTGTTACATCTATTTGAAGTAGCACCACCTTTTGTGACGCACAATAGCTAAGAAGCTTTAAAATGTATTGTGACATATATTTTTATATAAATATTTTGCTGTTATGTTGAAAAGCAATAGTTGGCATACAAGCAATGATCAATAAGCTAGATTTTAAAGTTGTTTTCGTTACTTTAACAACTGTTACTGAAAAAGGAACAATATAAACTGAATGGTCTTTGGACATGCTGAAATTTTAACCATCATCATGTATATTTTATTTTCCTTACTCTGATAATTTTAAACAGTTTTAAACTGTCTTTTATAAATGTAGAATTCTGAAAACAAAACAAAAGAAAAAAAAACGGAATGGAGGAAATGGAAATACTAGGTTTTTCTAAGTTATTAACTTACTACTGGGAAGGCCCGTCAGGAGTCATAATATAATGTACATTCATCCATACAAAAGACATCAAACTTCTATGACTTTGGTTTTTAATACACATTTATAGACCTCTTATGTACCAGTCTTACACGCAATATGTGAAATGAACTGCAAATAATAATGAAAATAAATTTAAAGCTCATTTTCGCTATCAGAGTTACGTGTATCGACTTATTTGTCCATATATTGTAGAAACTTTGAATGTCCAACCTTTCTATCGCCCACTCTCTACACGTTACGTTTTAATGATATTACTTTGTTACGTTTGAGTTATACGTTTGATTTTTCCATTGGGTGGGTGATTGATAGGAATTGCGAAAATGGGAGTTTGTTCGATTTCTTAACATAAATAGTTGAAAAGAGTAATTACTTTTATAATGGCGTGGAAGTGGAGCAAAGTGAATAATCCATAACTATCCTATACCAGTTACCGAAATACTGGTTTGATCTGAGTGTAGCAAGAACGTTTGCTGTGAACTACCGACTATGGTAAGTTACATTTCTCGGCAGTTGATTGAAGCTCGACCCCCCCCCAAAAAAAAACAACAAAAAAAAAACTAGCCTTACTATGGTCAAAAACCTTAGATAGAATAGTGAGATGGAGACTGTAAATAAAAGCCTTTAACTATCGCCATTACGTTTTTTATGGATAGATTTTAACTTTTAACTTTTTTACTGTAAGTCTGTGCGCAAACATTACATTGGATCTATTTGTTGTGGAATTGCTTTATTTTGTTATCTTTACGAACAATATATTATTGATTAATAAATCTGGATGTTTACGAACAATATATTATTGACTAATAAATCTGGATGTTTACAAACAATATATTGGTTGGTTGTTTTGAAGTTAAGCACAAAGCTATACAGTGGGCTATCTGTGCTCTGCCCACCAAGGGTATCGAAACCCGGTTTCTAGTGTTATAAGTCCGCAGACATACCGCTGTGCTACTGGGGGGCTAACAATATTATTGACTAATAAATCTGGATGTTTACCAACAATATATTATTTACTCATAAATCTGGATCTTTACGAACAATATATTATTGACTAATAAATCTGGATTTTTACGAACAATATATTATTGTCTAATAAATCTGGATCTTTACGAACAATATATTATTGACTAATAAATCTGGATTTTTACGAACAATATATTATTGTCTAATAAAACTGGATCGGACGTGATCCAATGGTTAGTATTCTGAGCTGCTGATCGAAGAGTTCAAGGTTTGAGATGTT